AAAAAAAGCAGCTCAGGGACAGTGCCCAGGCCCTGAGTTCAGGCCCCAGGACAAACGCAGACTTCACTTATATAAAACCGGCCAACGGTTTTCTGTGAGGAAATGCTTTCCCACCAAGGACTCACTTATTCCACGTGATAAACGTGGCTCTCTGTGTGGATATGCCAAGACCAGCGATGTCACGCATCTGGGCTCCAGCAGCTATGAGAAGAAAGAGAAAGAACATTTCAAAGCTGAGCTAGTGAACAACCCATTACTCAGATCATTTCTGGCAGTTTTTTTTTTTTTTTTTTTTCAGTCATGGGGCTTGAACTCTGGGCCTGGGCGCTGTCCCTCAGCTCTACCAGCTCAAGGCCAGCGCTCTACCACTTGAGCCACAACAGTGCCACTTCCGTTTTTTTCTACTTGTGTGGTGTCAAGGAATCGAACCCCGGGCTTCATGCATGCTAGGCAAACACTCTACCACTAAGCCACCTTCCCAGCCCTCTGCTTACCTTTGACAGCATCTTTAATCACAGCCACAAACTGAGCCCAGAGAACGTCAGGGTTAATCTCCACCCAGCCAGGCTTAGGATAAAGAGTCTCCACCTATTTAGCAAACAAGAATGAGTAAAAAGACCACAGCTCGGTCACATCTGCGGCTTAACACTACTGGTGAAAATCATCCACAGAGTGATTCTGCTCTCTGATTTTTACAGTTAACATTGAGTGGGCTGGAAGGCACATCAGCCCCTGGAGTCAACCCCAGACCCTTCCACACCAGGGGGAAAAAAATTAGACATAGATCACAAAGGGCTGCGCGCCAACCCCAACAGAGCAGGGCTTGGAACTTTTCTACCTTTATTTTTCAGGTTCTCTACAATGAAAATGTTTGGTAGGGAGGAAAGAGACTTTGAGAAATTGAAACTAGACTAGGAAAAGAAGTCCCTTGCTTGCAAGTGTGAACTGCGGACAAAAGACAAGGGGCAGGGCTGGGAAGGTGGCTCAGTGGTAGAGTGCTCGCCTTGCATGCATGAGGGCCTGGGTTCGATTCCTCAGCACCACATAAGCAGAAAAAGCTGGAAGTGGCGCTGTGGCTCAAGTGGTAGAGCGCT